GTGCAGGTTAGGCCTCTTTGGCAGGAGAGTCAGAGAAGTGAGCATCCCACCCTGTCGGGTGGTCCAGGGTTACGATTGATCTGATGACCGCTGGTGTCCCCGGTTGTTCGGTTTGGGTGGCACTTGACGGGGCCCCCCGGGGACTCACCTTCTTACTTTCACAGTTGACGGGAGCCTTGTGGGGAAGAGGAGCCGCAGAACAATACAAATAGCCCATTTCTCATCACACTTTCAAGTCACAAATACACCTTATTTTAATAAGTATTTAAACGCGCATGGCCCTGTGGCCCTTCTGCTATAGTCCACGGCCATTGTGATGAGCCCTGACCTGCCACTGGGGGCCCTTCCTCCTCGGGCCAGCTACGCGGCCTTTCAGTGTGTCCCTGCTGTGCCCTGCGCTCTCCTACTTTCCCACACAGTAAGATGTTCCAGACTCGTCCTGTACTCTCTCTGCCCAAGCCCTATGACTAGCCGTTTCTCCAAAGGACCCTGCTTCCTTTTAGTGGAGGATGGCATTTAGAAGCCAAGACACAGGTTCTCAGGGTGCTTGCTGCTGTTGGGGTGTCATTCCTCTAAGGGCCTCTCACTGTATTTATTTATCCCTTTCCATATTTTGTTTCTTTTTTTTTTAAACATCTTTATTGGAGTATAATTGCTTCACAATGGTGTGTTAGTTTCTGCATTACAACAAAGTGAATCAGCTGTACATATACAGATATCCTCATACCTTTCCATTAATTCCCATCTCTAACAGCGAGAGACCTGACGTGTCACCAGTAATTTGTTTCCTTATTTGCTCAATCCCATATGTAATCAATCTCCCTGCTCCAGTGGATGTCCCCTCCGCTCCTTGGGCTCTGACCTCAATCGGGACAGCCCCCGGGGATGGCTCTGCACCCCAGGATCCAGTTCCAGGAGCCCAGGAGTTCCAGGGGTGACAGGCTGGTAACACACTCGGGTGTCCCTCCCTCCCTCCCTTCCTCCCACCCTGATTTGTGTATCCTGGAAACACCTCCGAAACACATATTTTCACTCTAATCTTTGTCTCAGGGTCTGCTTTTGGTGGAACTCAAAATAACATAAAAGTCTTTTCTAAATTTTTATCAAGCTCATGTTACTTGAATAATTTTTTTTCCCCAAACTTAAAGTTTCAAAACAGTATCGCAGCACTTTCCTGACGATGGCAGCTTGTGCTTGTCTGAGACCAGGTGTTTTCTTCTCATGGAGTAGGGAGGAGGAAACAGGTGGGACCAAGGAGGGCAGAGCTGTCTGTCGGGGTCGCTGTCAGGACCTGCTGATCTGAGCCTCCCGGTCTGCTTCCCCAGCTGGGCCTCTGACCTGCCCCTGAGGCCAGGGGCAGCTCATCACTGCCAGCACCCTCTTCTCTCAGGTCTCGGGGTGCTGCTGGCTGCAAAGCCCGCCCCCAGGTCCTCAATAATCTCGATCCCTTATGAGCAGTTTGCCGATCCTTGGCCTCCTTGGCCCCAGCACACGGAAGCACACGGGGCAGAACTTGGTCTCCTTTGCCACTGGTTCCAGAGCCTGGCTTGTGCCCACGGGGGTACGAGCTCCACAAGTGTGTATTTATCTCGCAAGTGAACATGCACACGACCAGCTGCCCATACCCGTCAGTGCGGCAAGGGCTGGAGAGTGAGCTGGGCGGGCCTGGTGCAGCAGGTTCCTGCCCCTGCCCCCCAACGTGGCTGTGCCTGTGGCCTGGACCCTCCACCTCACAGTGTGGTGCGTGGCCTGTGGCAGGGGTCGGTGGGGGGAGCAGGCCACTGGCCAGGGCAGCTGCTGCAATGAGTTGAAAGGAGGAAGGCCAGAAACTGGGGGCCCCCAACTGGGCTCATGGAGAAGACAGGGCCTGGATGACTCTCTCTAGGTACAGCCGTCCTGGCCCTCGGTGGGTAGGACGGCCTCAGCTGCTCCAGAAACTCCATCTTTCGGGCAAGGACACCTCAAAGTCCACTGAGGCAGAGAAGTTTAGCGACCAGTCCAGGCCCTCCCTGAATCTCAGGGCCCTTCACCCCTCACCTGTCCCCCACCCTACACCCACCCACTTCGGCTTCAATCTGGGTTCTGAATCTCTGGGAGTATTGGTCCTTCCACCTGGCCCCTTCCCAAGACCCCTTCCTGGAGCCCTGCAAAGCCGGAGGACAGAGGGTGGGCGGGGTGGGGGGACACTGGGAGGCAGGCACTACCTGTCCAGGGGGCCTCAGGCTCGGGGCTCTCCTGGGAGTGCCCACTTTGCCGAACGAGGAGGAATTGTGCGTTTGGCTGGAAACCCTCCCTGGCCAGCCCTCTGGTGCTCCAACATCTCCTTTCAACTACAGGTTGCCCGACTGTATGGGAGTCAAAGCCACGTGGAAGGAATGGACTCAGGTACAACAGAAATTTTTTTGGTCCAAATGGGACCAAGAAAACAGCCTCCGAAAGCAAAGAAGCCCCTTTATTTTGTTTTCTAAGGACCCCTTTCCTAGTTTTCCTGTGCCAGCACCCGTAGAAAAACCTCGCATTGGGCACACTGGAGTGAAGAGTGGAAGACACAGTCCCCAGGGTGCAGCCGAGGGTGGGAGAGGGTTCACGTCCCTGGCGGGGAGTGGTCAGGCCTTCAGATGTGCAGCACTGCACCCTGAATCTCAGGCCTCCCTTGAGATTCTGCAGCCATGCATGTGTGGGGTCACCTGCCCATCCTAGCTGCATCTCCAGACACCTGCCCTTGCCTGAGGGGCGACAGAGGCCTGCAGAGACACCGGGTCGGCGCCCCCGGGGGCAGACACGACCCTGGGGAGTGCTGGTTTGGGGCCAGTTCCAGCTTCCACTGGGGAGGCAGGAGCAGTAGGTAACAAGCTGAAGGTCACACAGGCTGAAGTGGGCATGGCCCTCTCGCCTCTGCCCAGCACTGTGCCCCCCCACGTGTCCCCCAGTGCCCGGGACAGCTTGGGTGCCCTTGTCCTGTGGAGGAAAAGATGCCACTGCCCAGCTTGGCTGGACTGTCCTTCCACCCTTGGCTTGAGCACCACCAGAATCGTCCTCCTGATCTCAAGTCCCCACCCCCCAGGCCTCTGCTGGATGCTGATTCCTCTGGGGGCTGCCCGGCTCCCTGTCCAACTTCAGGCCCCGTTCTCGTCCCACCCAGCACTTTCTGGTTTGTCTCTCACTCGTGATAGAGCCACGACAGACAGTGGGGTCTCCCACTGGCCATGCCCTGGGTGCCCTGCAGATGTATAAATGGCTCTCTGGGCCTGGGGGCTCTAGGGTAAGGGTCGTGCCAACTTGCGGGAGGCAGGAAGGAGCCAGGTTCCTGCAGACCCACCCTGGGCCTGGGCCTGGTGGTGACCTGGATGCAAGCCCTGTCCTGGAACTGGTGGGAGGCGCAGCCGCTGGCTGTGTGGGGGGACCACCTTGCAGGGTCATGGGGTGGTCGGCCCTGCGGCCAGTCATCCATTGGGGGTGTTGTGTCGCGCCTGCATCGCTTGGGGGTCCCCAGAACAGGCTGCATGATGTCTGTGTCCCGTGTGGGGTCTCCGGGGTGCTGCAATCCCAACGTGTGTAGTAGCCCACATCGTGCTGCTCTGTGTCCCTGTCCTATGTGGGACGTGGATCGTCTGGCCTGGCGTCCCCGTCGCCTGCGTGGGGACCCCGGGGGCTGGGACGTGGGCGGTGGAGGGTGTGCCACCCCGTCCCGTCCGCCCCTCAGCTGGTTTGCGGTTGTAGTGGGGACCTTGTGTGGGTTTCTGGGCTGTGGCGGCGATGCGGCGGCGGGTCGGGCGCCTTCGCAGCCTCGCAGGAAGCTGCCGCCACCGGATGGGGGACCCGGGTCGCAGCCGCCGCCACCGGCCCCGCCGAGTGGCCTTCCGGCGGGCGGGCCCGAACGGAGCCGAACGGGGCTGAGTCCCGGACGGGCGGGGCCGAGCGGAGCCGAGTGGAGCCGAGTCGCGGCCGGGCGTGCCCGAGCGCAGCCGAGCGG